AAGAAAATCTTTTTCGTTAAAAGAAATTTGAATGAGTTTTAACTTGTACAATTTGAACGACTAGTGTTGAATATAGTTAGCAGCTAGAATTAATCGAAAAACAAAATAACAAAAAAATGAAGAATAAACAACACTGCACCACGTGAATACTCTTCAACTGACTGTGTACAGAATACAAAAAAAAAATACAATTTGCAAAAGAATGCTAATGGTAGAGTCAACGATTTATTTTTCTTTTCTCATCTCAAGTATATTTTTTCTCCAAGCTTTACCTTTACCTTTAACTAATGTGTACCATCTGTCTATGAGACAAGCCGATTGGTAATTGTCAAAAATGTCCATTAAGAAGGTTTTCTGACAAGATGTCTCTAGATTTTTGTCTTCAAGAATTAATATTCTCAAATTTTGTATCATCTGGAAAATGTCCCTGATAAACTGCGAATAAAATTACTTGAACATTCGATATTCTGTTATGAAAAAAGAGCACATCGGTTTTTTTAAAATTCATTGATGTAGCATGATGAGAAGTCATAGTACAAGAACTCGTAAACTTTTGATTTTTTTTAATAGATTTTTGTGTACTATCGAAAAGATTAAAAGAATTAGGTAAAGATGCTAAATAAATAAATAAATCAAAGTGATAAGAATTTTTATCGTTGAGTCGATATAATCTGCAATGTTATTATTTCACGAATATAAGTTCTAATCTACCAATATATTTTTCACAGAGTTTCTATTATATTTATAGAATTTCAGTTTCGAAGTTTATCATATTTAGGTATCTTTAAACGAGTAAGTCAAGTAATTATGGAAAATGAAGGAATTTTCATTCGAATGTGAAGAAAGCTATGCTAAGAGGCACATTTCTTCAACGTAATAGGATCAATAGGGTTTACATAAGTCTACGGGAGTCTTTTTGTATAATACTCCCTGTTCTCTCTCGAGTACCGAATAATTCATTTTCTAACATCCACATTCTCTTCTCTTGTCCTTTTTCTCGTATTTCTCTTTTGCATCTATCTCCCTCTATATATATATAAATGTCTCTGAGCTTAAAACAGAGCCGTCAGAATTAGTTCTTCAATACTTACAGTGTAGTGCAAACAGTAACAACTAGCTGTTAAGCGAGCAAGTTGGCGAGCTAGTAATGAGGTTATGTCAGGTCAAGTACAAATATGCTACAATAATGTTTATAAGTACAAGTTTGTTATATCCTCGTTGCTTTGTCTAGATTATGCATTATACATCCATATCTTATCTCTCAAAATAAATTAACTCGGTGTAGTGTTACATTTGTTGCGCATTCCTTTATTCAAAATATATTTACGTATACGACTGGCTTAATTATATTTTTCATTATAAAAACCACTTATCTTCAATATTTATGATTCGAGTATATTATAAATGGTAAACAGACTTGTCTAATTATATGGTCTATGTAAAAGAAGTCGAAGAAAAGTAATTATGACAAGTGGCGTAATCAGGATTTTGAGACCAATGAACAAACCTCTCTTGCCTCGAAAAAAATTAATGGACACATTAGACATGATTGTTATTGATAGGCTAAAGAAAAAAAAAGTAATATGTGTTGTTTTATCAGATATTCATCAAACTCCTATCTTTGATCTGATTCAAGCATGTTTTAGTCAATTTTTAATGTTTTTTTTGTTCGAAGAAAAATATAGTTTAAGTTGTTTTTCATTAGGCACAGCATAATAGTAGTATGTTTTGAATTAGAATAATAAAAACATTAGTATACTGTTTTAATATTCGACTATAAATTCAAATAAATTAATTTTTTCAAAAAAATATTTTAAAAATTTTCTATCAAACTGAATTTAAAGTAAATATTTTCAGTTATCTAACATAATAAAAATTCTAAGCATTCCCCTAGTCGAACATCTAGTGAGCAAGATCTTGGCCAAGATACAAGGTACAGAAATGTTAACAGATCTTGAAAATTCAGGTACAAGATAATCATATTATCTTGTACGAAGATCTTGAATCAGATCTTGGGTACAGATACGTAAGATCTTAAGTACAGATATATAAGATCTTGGGTACATACTAAGATAAAACGTGTTTCATGTGCGGTGATTTGCGATACAATGCATGATATATTCTGATAGTGTGATTCGAACCTATCATATAGCGCATTTATTATTTTTTTCTGTAAATCCATGTTATGACATTTTTTCAATTTATTTTCATTTTAATTATTCCTATCCCGAATAACTGAAGCAAGTCAGATTTTGGAATCTGCTTGACCTGAAGATGGCTCGATCTCCATCAGACTGCTTCAGAGTAGTCCTCCCTCGATCATTGATCGAGATCAGCATTTTCTCAAATGATCAACACTCGAGAAATAGTTTTTAAAAAAAATTATTTTGAAAATGTATGTTTTGCATGTTCAATCACGTTGTTTATATAAGGCTCTGTATGCACAAAAAAACGGTGAATGACTAGTCAGCATGTAAATACTAATGATGTCGCTCTTTTATTCAAGATCTTGTGAGAAGATAATAGTACACGATATTTTTTCCATGATCTTGACAAGATCTTAGGTGCAGATTTATCCGATACAACGAAGGTGTTCACATACAAATTATCTTTTCAAGATCTTATCAATATCTTGCTTATTGGTCCCAAGATTTCAAGATCTTGCTTACAAGATGTTCGACTAGGGTCTTTATCTTTCGTATACTATGTATTTACCTTTTTTGTTTTTACTCTATATTTATATACTTGTTATTTAGTATATCATAACAATATACTTATTTGTTTTGTGTTTTGATGGCTTTTGCACCTGTCTCTCCATTGATTGTTGATGATCTACCAAAATTCCTTTCTATGGTGTATCATCAATTCATTAATCAAGTTATTTATACATTTGCTAATTTTAGTATAGCTGATCGATTAGTTATTGCAGCATTAGATCGTGGTTTTACTGTCAAAGAAATTATGAATGATGAACAATCAGAATGGAATCAAGATTTACTCTATCGAATATGACATGCATGTATTTATGGTGGTATTGTTGAATCTATTAATGATGAAGAACATTTTATTCTTACTACGTCTGGTATGATGATGACTTCAAATCATCCATCACCTGTACGAGATTTTATTCGTGTGAACTTTGGACCAATTTGTACTAGTACTGGCATACAATTATCAAATATGATACGTGGAAAGGATACAGGTGCTGAAGTAGCTGGTCTTTCAGGTAGTATGAATTTTTATA